AGGTGGAGCAAGAGGGTTTGGAGGGGAAGAGAAGTAAACATAAGAGAACTTAAAAAATTACTATTACCACCAGCATTACCATTAAGGTGTGGACTGGGGTGCAAATGTCTGGTGTCTCTGGGAGCCTCAGGAGTTGGAAGGTGAGGGCTGGCGTGTGGCTCCAAGGCGGGGGAAGGTGGCTTGCCAGTGATGATGAGGGCGGAGTGGCAGAGGCAAGCACAGGAGGAAGAGGGTCTACCGGGCTGGGGCTGGTGCCCGTGTCATCTGGCCTCGGGGGCCCTGGATGCGCTCTTGTGTCCTGCTGGATAGACCTCCCTTTGAGGGGTCTATTTCAGGTATCCTGGGATGGCACATGCCTGACCTGGGCATCTTCACCCTAATGGAGCCTCCCCCAGCTGCCAGCTCATGCCCTTGCCCTTGGCTTTGAACTCCCCAAGGACCCTTCCTGCTGCCAGGTCATCGTTTCCAGGTGGCTGCCGTGTCCCTCTTAAGATGTCCAAGTTCTGCTTTGGGGGTGCTGGGGTCCCACACTGGGCTGAATCAGATGCACACATAACTGCCTTTGCCAAGGAGGGCAGCTGGCAAGGGTCAGATTCGTGGTCCCCAAACGCCCATGGAGCTGTTCCATGTCTGCCCCAAAGTGCTGTGCAGGCTGGGGGCACACCCCAATCTCTCTAACGCATTCCTCAAGGGATCTCCTCTCAGAATATGGCAATTGCTCCTTTCCATGATTGACTGATTGACTGACTGGTACCAGGGATTAAATCCAGGGCCTTTGCACTGAGCTACATCTACTTCCTTGGCCCTTTTAAAACTTTTCATTTTCAGCCAGTCTCATTGCCAAGGATGGGCTCGGCTTTGTCGTCTTTCTACCCAACCTCTCTGAGTGTTGGAATCACAGGCGTGCACCACCACGCCTGAGTTGTGCTTTCTTTACGTAGCTGGGAGTGGTGACCCTGAGGATGCCGAAGCCAGCTGCTTTGGACCTCTCTCTGGGCTCCTGGGTGTCTGCGTTGTGGTTCTGAGCCTTTGAGACTGGTGATACCGGCTGTCCTGGGATGGTGTGAGGAGGTGTGAATGTGAGCGAGCTCATGTGTAAGTATTGAGAATGTACCGGTGTGTTGAAAACTGCGACTGCGTGAGAGGATGTGTGTAGGGGTTGAGAGAACTTGAGGATGGTGAACGCGTGTTAGTGTTATGGAGCGACTGTGTGTTCACGCAACGGTGTGAATGTGAGTTGTGAGTGCATGAGGGTGTTTGAGGGTGGGAGTGTGTGCAAATGTGCGTGTTTGAACTTCACGCACCCAGGTTCTTCGGTTCGCCGTCGGTTCCCCAGGTCGCTCGCTGTAAGGACTGACTCCGCCCCTCCCCTCCCCCACCACTCTGTGACTCAGTCGTCCGGCCAGGCCCCAGCTGGCCCTGTGGCTCTCAGCGGGGGGCTGCTCCTCCCCGGAAGGTCCCCTCCAAGGCAAGGGGAGCTGCCTGTCAGAATGCTGATGAAACATGAGTGAATTTTCAAGCAGAGAAATTAGTGGAACAGGATTTTCCAGAACCAGAGCCCTACTTTTGAAATCCGGTTTTAGATGTTTGGGGGACTCCCAAGTTTTCCTGTCAACAGGGCGTCTCTGGATGCAGCGCCTGCTGCTCCCAATTAATTAATCATTTTCCCATTCATTGATTAATGTGCTCGATGTCAGCAGATTTAACTTTGTGAAGTCATGTTGTTTTGTTTTAAAGGGGAAGCTGTGCAAACGCAGTCAGGCAGCAAAGCTATAATGCTGCACGTAAAGCCAATAAGAGAAGCTGAACGTACCCCTTTAAGAAGTTCAGCTGCGCATTTAAGGTCCACTCTTCTTGGTGTTTCACAGAATAGTATCAAACTTATTTGTAAGAACCATGCAGGTGGATGCACACCAGTAATCGCAGCACCTGGCAAGGCCCAGGCAGGGGATGGAGGGTTCAAAGTCAGGCGGCGCTACACAGTAAGACCCTATCTCAAAAAGCGAGGTAGGGGGATTTCCACACTGGTGTGAGCAGAACTTTGTCATAGGGATCCACAGTATTTTTCCGGAGCTGTTTGAAATTTTATTTATTTGTGGTTTTAATTTTAAATTTTATGCTTCATTTTAAAGTTTTTTTAAAAGCAGGAGCAGTGTGTGTGTGTGTGTGTGTGTGTGTGTGTGTGTGGTGGTAGTGGGTGGGGATTGGACTTAAGACCTTCACACAGTCCTTTTTCACTTTTTGTTTGGGACAGTCTTGGTAAGTTACCTGGGCGAGGCTGGAACTTGTGATCCTCCTGCCTCAGTCTCCCAGGGAATGCAGGTGTGCACCACCATGCCCAGGTGCAGGAGCTTTTTATTGCTGTACGCATCCCACTAGTGTGTTTGGAGATGTCACTGAAATGTCCCACTGCCTGGGGATGTGGACTCAGTTTTATGACAGTGATCACTAGATGAGACAAAGTGGTTGTTCAGTAAGAACTCATTAGATCAATCAAGCAAAAGGAATAATGCCAGGGAAAAGGTCAGAGTTGAGGTGAGAGTGCTTGGAAGTTTTGCAGTTTTTTTTTTTTTTTTTTTGTACCAGGAATCGAACTCAGGACCTTGCACTTGCCAGGCAGGCACTTATGCCACGGAGCTATCTGCCCAGCCCAGTTTTGCAGGTTTTAATGATATTTTCCTTTTCCATATTCCTATCTTGTTCTGTGTGCAGGACATTTCTCACGATAGGTAGCCCCACGTGGAGAGGTATAGGAAGGCTGGGCCGGATGGACCTTTAGATCGCACAGCCCGTGAACATGGAGTGGGGTGACAGGCCCACTGTCCGGCTGCCCTCCACCCAGCCCAGGGTGGGCGGAGCAGTGTGGCTATCTTGGCAGCAGTGGGTGTGGGTGGCAGGGAGCCTAACCCCTGACACTGTGCTTGTGTTAGTTACAGGACTCTCATCAGACCCACATACAGGGTGTCCTACCGCACGGTGACAGCGCTGGAGTGGAGGTGCTGCCCTGGCTTCACCGGGAGCAACTGTGACGAGGGTGAGTCTGGTGGGGACAGGCTCTGCACACGGGTGCTGGCCAGGCTGGGCTTGACTGGCCGTGCGCATCTCTCCCTGCAGTCGCCTTCTTTCCACCTCTGCTGCACAGCTTGAAATTCTTCTTTCCTTTTCCTAGCCACCTCTAGGGACCTGGGCGCTGGCCTGGGTGGCCTGAGAGGAAGCTGCTCCTGCCCATAAGCTGGGTGAGGGGTGGGGAAGCCTTGCAGGCTCTGTCCTGGGGAAAGGTATTTGTTTTACAGTTTCTTTCTTCAGTTTTGTGGTACACCCATAACAGGGTGGGCCATTCCCAGGCCAGACTCCATCTGGATCTGGAGCCCAAGGGACAAGACAATAGCATCCAGGGGAAGACAGAGGTGGTCCACAGAGCAAATTCCTGTCATACTCATGACGGGGCAGGTCTGCTCCTACGGAGTAGGTGCGCAGCCAGCTGGGTCTCCTCAGCACTGGTGGGTCAGTGGGTCAGAGGTCAGTGTTGCACTTGGAAACTTAATTAGCTCCAAATTTAGCTTTCATTTCTTTTTTTCTTTTTCTTTTTTGAGACAGGTCTTGCTATGCAGTTCAGGCTACTTCTCCAGCCACTATTTCTATTATTCCTGTAACTCACCAAAATACAGAGTCGTGGAAACCCTCAGGTTTTCTTGCAAGTAGATGGCCCCACCTGTGGATAATGGGAGACGGTGACACCCAAAGTATGTTGCTGATGGTCAATTTACTCTTTAATCTCACTTTGATTGCTGTCACTGCAGAAAACCCTGCTGTACCAAAACAGAATGTTGGAAACGGAAGCGGGCTTTTCAGCATTTCCGTGGCAACCTCAGGATACTTTCCCTAAACTTTTTTTGTGTGTGTGATACTGCAGATTGAACTCAGGACCCTGCACTTGCCAGGCAAGCGCTTATTCTACTGAGCTATCTCCCCGGCCCACTTTGCCTAAACTTGACTCCAGAATGTATGGAGATTTAAAGTTGTCCTAACATACTTTTAAGGCCACCGTCTTTGGCAGTCTCAAGAGCTTCTCAGCTTCGGTAGCTACTAAGAATGATGCTGTCTGTGCAGACACATTTGATATAGCAGTGATCGGCAGTAATTGTCTCCATTCCTTGTGCTCACAAAGAATGTCTTTTAATGTAGAGCGCTTAGTCCCTTCAAAACCTTAGTTTTGTAAGGTTTTGAAGGGTTCATGGTGTGGTTGGTTGGCTAGCTGCCTAGCACAATTGATATGAAGCAGGCTTGCAGAATGTAAATCACCTGCTTCAGTGAACCTATAGTTTGATTAAGACTCTTGTTCTTTTCTGTTAGATGCAGCTTTCTTTCTGTTGGCAGTTCTAGAGTCTTCTGCTGTATCATTGGTCTCCCCTTTTCCAAGAAGTTCTCTGGTGGTGTTTGTTCATTTTCCTCTTTTTGGCTGGAGTTAACTCATGGAATTACCAAGACTGTGATTGAGACGAATGTACTGTACACAGTACAAGAAGGAAAACTGGGTGGAAGTGATAAATAAAATAACAGACAAGGCACACATGAACTAAAATAGGTGTCAGATTCTGGCCTAAAGGCCGCCACTAGTTGTGCTGCACAATTGAAGTGCGTCAACTCACTTGCCACCAGATGCAACTTAACTGTCACTTGCCACTCACTGATAGAGCTCTGATATGAGTCTGCAAGCAATTGACTTATTATGGTCTCTGTGTAGTTGAGCATCTTTGCTAGTGTTGAATACTAATTATCAGTAAACTCACCTGAAACAGCTAGGTTTCCTGGGCTAATTGTGAGGAGTTGCCAGCCCTTTTCACAACCTCAGCCTCAGAGCCGTGACCGGCTGCTCCCTGCTGGAGGACCCTGCTGGGCTCCCCCACCTCAGGATGAGCAAGCAGAGCCTCCACCTGCCTGCAGGGCGAGGGATGCCGCGCATGGCCTCTCTCAGCAAGCCCAGCCTCAGCAGTGTGGGAGGAGGCTGCGGTCTTGAGATGGGTGAGTTGGCAGCTGAGGAATTCCTGGCAGCGTGAGAGCCAGTGTGGGGCTGGCTCCTGAAAGCCCTTGTAAAGATTTTACATCCCAAACAAGAGTCCATAAAGACAGCAGGCTGAATCGAGGCCGTGTCCAGGACTTTAGGCACATTCCTAGGGGGCTCCTGTGGGTCGTGCACACTTCATTCCCAATCGGTTCTCATTCTTTTCTTTCTGGGAACCCCTGCAGGTCAGGGAGGCATCCCCAGTGCAATTCACCTTGGCCTAGTTATCTCCTAGGAGGTTACTATGTTCATTACCTCCTTAGGTATGAACATAGCACATATGTTCATCAACAGATGAATGAATATATTATATACAGGCACAAGTATTCCATGATGAATGTGATCATTATGTATATCAAAAGTGTTTCAATAAAATTAATTTAAAAACCCCAAATGAATGGGTAAGCAAAATTGGTATTTATACACAATGGAGCACTAGTCTGCCATAAAGAAAAATAAACTTGAAACATTTATAATCAAATGGATGCAACTTGGGAAAATAATGTTGAGAGAAATGAGTCAGACAGTCTTTCTTTCTCTGTCTCTGTCTCTCTCTGTCTCTGTCTCTGTCTCTGTCTCTCTGGCACAAAATAGGAGATAAACAAGAAGGAGAAAAAAGTTTAAAGGACTTCTTAAGTTATCTATTGTGTTGTTTCAAAAATATTTAACATTTAATTTGCTTCATTCATGCAACTCATGACTGAGTGCGGCAAAAGAAATACACCCTGCACACAGAGCAGATCACTGAGAAAGAAAGAAGGCAGTGGCTGCAAGGACAGTGCCCACCATCTTTAACATCCCATTCTTTTTTTAATGTATTTAGTACAGGGTCTACAGGGTCTTGCTACACAGATCAGACTCGTAACGATCCTCCTGTTTTCAGCCTCAAAAGCGCTGGGATTACAGCACATGCCACCACGCCCAGTCTTACACCCCATTCTCACGTCAGATCTAGACTGTCCTTCAAAACCCTGCTTGAGCTTGTGCAGAGGATGGAAGATACCATTCTCTGATGGGTGTCAGGCGCAGAGCTCAGAAGCTGTTCTGCACATGGGCCCTGGCTGGGATTGACAGGTCATGCCTGCTTGCACAGCTGGCTTACCCTGTCCTGATCTCCTGCCTCAGGATGACACCCTCTCTGGACACCCTACCTGGTAGTCTATGGCTTGGGGATTCCCTCATACAAATGCCCACATACTGTTGATTCGATTTGGGAATCCCAGTTCACCTGCTTGCTAACTCTCACATGACTAGTGACAGAGCTCTTCCCCAGATATGGGCTGTAAGTCACCAACACACACCCCAGCTGAGGTGTTTTTTTTTTTTTTTTTGTATTTTAGGGAAGGGTCTATAGGGTGTTCAGGATCTCACTACTAGATTGACTCGTAGTGATCCACCTGTTTACAGCCTCCCAAGAGCTGGGATTACAGGTGTGAGCCACCATACCCAGTGCTAATTGCCTTCTCAGTGAGCCCCAGGGGTGGGGCTGGCAGGGCAGCCCCGGGGATTGAACCCCGGGTCCCTGTGCCTGCTTGCAGGTGCTTTAATCAGCTGAGCTATTTGGCCAGCCCTTCCAGCTGAGGGTAAGCAAGGAGATGCTTCTCCTGTTTCAGCTCCCATGCTGTGCGTGAGTACCCTTTGCATGGTCTATTTAGTGCTGCCTTTTCCACCTGTTTCTTATTTATTTATTTATTAAATATATTTAGTGCAGGGTCTGCAGGGTCTCACTACACAGATTGCATTTGTAGTGACATAGTGATCCTCCTATTTTCAGCCTCCCAAGCGCTGGGATTACAGGCACATACCACCACACCCGGTCTCAATCAGCATCTCAGCGCACTCCAGGGGCAGGGCTGGCATGGCAAGCCGGGGATTGAACCCCAATCCCTGAGTCTGCCTAAGCAGGTGCTTTCATCTGCTGAGCTAGCTGGCTGGCCCTGTTTCTCCTTTTTATTGGTAATTTCTCCATTTGCACTGTACTCCAGGTGTAGTGCTGCAGTGCTGTCTGCAGTTCTTAAGTGAAACAGGGTTGTGATGTGCCTTATGGAGAAAAGACATCTGTATTAGAGAGCTTTTGCTCACATGTTTGTTATAGCATTTTCGGTCAGGAAGCCCATGTTCATGAATCAGTAGTCAACATTAAATAAAAATTCTTTCAGCAGAAACACACACAAAATGAGGTTATGTGGTTATCTGTGGATAAGAACGCTGTGATCGAGTCAGCTGCAGTGGTGCACGCCTGTATCCCAGCACTCTGGGAGGCTGAGGCAGCAGGATCACAAATTTGAGTTCAGCCTGGATAACTTACTCAGTTAGAGAGACCCTGATTCAGAAATAAAAAAAATAAAGAGGGCTGGGGATGTAGCTCAGTGTGAAGGCCTCAGGAACTGAAGTAATGTTTGCAGTGACTTTATGGAGTATAAGTGCTAAGAATAGCAAGAATCATCTCTCTCTCTCTCTCTCTCTCTCTCTCTCTCTCTCTCTCTCTCTATTCCTATACTGCATATTTAGGGATTATTGTTTTGCTTATTACAAAATAAATATAGGTGCCTCCTGATTTTGATGTGTGAGTTTTCAATTCTATGATGATATGGAAGTGATATGAATGTAGTGGAGACTCACTGCTAGGGCTGGGGCTATATAGCTCTGGGATTGTGGATTTTGGTCTTTTCCTGGGTGATATGACATTTTGTTGTGAGTTTAGGCAGCACCAGGGAGGCTCAGCTCCCAATCGGACGTTTGGTCAGGAGGGAAAACCTCTGATACTCTGCAGTGTAAAGGGAGTCAGTGGTCTAGGGATATGCAATGTCGGCAATCCCAGCGCTCTGGGAGGCTGAGGCAGGAGGATCACAAGTTTGAGCACATCGTTGGCAGCTTCATGACTTAATAAAATCCTGCCTTAAAATAAAAAAAAAATTAAAAAGAGTTGAAAATGTAGCTCAGTGTGGAGGGCCTCGGTTCAATTTTCAGTA